AATTGATTTCTAAATAACTTGCAATGGGCAGCTAAGCAGGAGCCCCAACTCAATGCTCATGGTAAAGGAGGCAGGAGAGCTTAGCCCACACACATTTATCCAGCATGGATGTGAATACAGACTTAACTCACGCCAAATGCTGGCTCTTGGGTTGTTTTTTTCAGGCCTAATGCTGGCTCTTGGCCAGCATTAGGAGACATCCAGAGAGCTGCAATATGGTGCAGCTGTTCTGGTGGGGCTGGAGTTACTGAAGTGCATGGATAGAAAGGACACAGATAAGTTGGCAACTCAGCTTCATTAGTATGACTGTTGATGGAACATGTTATTTCATTGCTCAAAAGAAAACTTCAATATTACTGGTATGGATGAAATTCACAAGGGAAACCACACAAAAAAAAAAAAAAAAAAAAATAAAGGAGATGAAGGAAGATGTTTTACATGCTGGTGATTCACTCTGAGACAAAAGAAAATAAAAGAATATCCCCAACCAGTTGGATCCCCGAATACTAAATATATAAACTTATTGCTGTGATAGCTCCTCCAGACATGAGTCATACATTTTACAGCCTTATGGGGTTGATCAATTTAACTTCATAAATGAATTACACCACCAAAACCAGACCAATGTATCCAGACTGGCTCATTTCAACCTTTCAGAGCTATCGATAAAACTCTGTGTAAGCTGAAATGCTTACCAGCGAAAGCTGAAAGCAGTAAATCAAATTTAATAGGCTGGTTTTGTCGACTGCACAGGAATGATGCCTGAAAAAAAACCAACCCACGCCTGAACTAATGGAATTCCTAAAGGATATGCAAAGACTGTTTAATTTCTACATGCCTAATGTCCCGGGTTTCTGTTTGGTTGTCCTATGCACATAACCCACAGAATTTCTGAATTAAGACCAGCACTTTACACATAAAATATTTAGAAAGGCTTCCAATCCTGACAAAAAGATCTATTGCCTCCCTCAATAGCCGGTTCCTGTAGTTAATTACCCTCACTTATGTTTAATTTAAATTTGTGTCCCTTCATTTTCCCACAGCTTGATATTTTTTATGCTATTATCTGCTACATTAAAGTGCCCTCCTCTTTCATTTATTTTCCCTCCATGTGGTCAAGTTGCCTTTTAACCTTTTCTTTGCAACAAATTGACATCCTTCTACCTCCCACTACAGATGACTTTGGCCTCCATAGACTATAGAGGTGCTTGGGTTTCATTTATTTTCCTTTTGCTGGGGTGATATAAAGAAAAATAGTGTTTCCAACCTCATCTTTATTTTCTGCTTTTTTATTTCTCCTACAGCAAATATATTGCCAATATATGATGCCAGATTGACAAGATGGAAACAGAAGTCAGAATTCTTTCCTGTCAAACCAACCCCACACTGCCCTCCTCTCTTACAGAGTTCTGTAAGACCATCAGCCTAGGTAGAGATGGTCTCCCCTGATACTTAGATAGGAAATAAATGTTGTATCCTCAACACTGTGGAGTAACTGTGGTCAGCAAATGTCAGCTTCTGTGGTAAAGCCACAAGCCAGGAGAGATCGGAGCTTGGTCCCGCTCTGGGTCAGGACCAAATAACTAATCTCAAGGCGTGAAATGTAGTATCCAGTGATCAATACTCTGAGCCATCTTGTTTTCTGAGTCAAAAATAAACCTTCTCTAGATGCAAGAGTGGCATTGCTGCTCTCCACCTTCTCCATCCTCCAAACAAAACAGAAAAGCTGGAGAGGAAGCAAAACCAGCAACTTTCATTTCATTTTATAGTCGGCTGTAGTGCTGATGTTCCCTTAACACTGTATAACATTGCTTTGATTAATCTAATAACGGTATACTCCCAGAAATAGAATGACATCTGCTATTTAAGATAGGTTTGGTCAATTATGCCTCTTGCAGTACTTGTGTCTCATTTCTTTCAAGGATATGGAACTTCACTTTTTCCAGAAAAACTAGAAAAAGATGACTATAAAAACGTCTTCTCCTGTGAAAGCTCAAACTACAAAAGATAGATCACACAAAATTACTCTTGTTTGCATTCTGAAGATGGAGCTTGTCATTAGAAAGATGAACACTTTCTATTCTTCTTACATTTTCTAATATTATAATGACAGATATTATGGCAAGCACCATAATCTGTTCAACTGTAGTGCAAACAGTGCACATCACCTCCCTAATAACATTGCAAAAGCTAGAGATGGGAGTTCATTATTTTCTTTGCCTTCTGTCAGAATATTGCTGATCCATATAATTACTGCAGTTGCAGAGATGTGCAGCGTTGGGACAGCGTCAGTGCTCTTCTCTGGGCAGCTGCACTGTACTGATACTGTACTGATACTGGGACTGTACTGCTCCCAGCATTGTTATACTGGAAACATAGGTCTGAAAAGCTCTATTTGTATTTTAACACCTGTTAAAGATTGTAGGCAAGCTCCAATTTCATAGCTTTTAACTGGGAGATAGCAGCTTGCTGCCCAAGCCGACGTGGATGAAGCTGTACGCTCAGCAGGGTCCTACCCTTTCCTTGGGAGAGGCAAGATCAGCAAGTCCGGTTCTTTTCACTTACATCTCACTTAAGAACAATAGCCCATTTTCAGCTTCTACTCCAGTGACCGAGGCCAGAAAAGTCTGTTATGTGGTCACAAATACAGATAGTGAGTTTTCCAACTCAGCAGATTTCATTTCATGGATCCAAACAGATTTATCTAAAACATGCCCTGGGAGTGTACTGGTTTGGGCTGAACTTGTGAGCAGGTAGGGAGGACATACACAGGGACTAGGAAATTATTTGCTTAGCGGGAGGTTTGCCCAGGGTGCAGAAGGCCTGCGTTCAAGTCCATGTTCTGTTGAATTCTGTATGAGGACATAATTCTATCCCTCTGGTGAGACACATCCTCTCTGCCCTGTTTCAGGACCTACTGCAAACAGACTATTCTCTTTGTGCAAAAACTGCCAGAATTAGTGATCTCATATGAAAGGAAGCACTGGACGATGACTTAGTTTTACCAGCAGCTCAATGACCTGAGGATGTTTTCCTTCTAACGTATACAGGAGCATTTAATCTCTTACTTTACTGGGGTCTGTCTGACTTCACCTACCATTATCACAATGACATGTTGGTGGAGAGCAGAGCTAGCCATAGATTACATAGAGTATGCACAACAAATGTAATCATCAGGCTGAATTATCAGAGATTGAGTCTTGGGCTCCTGGAAATAAACTGCAGTATTACATTTGTCATCTGTGAGCCTTTAACAGCCACAAAACACTCACAGCATAGGCCTATAGTCAACTTTAAGCAAATTATATAGGGCACTTTGGACTGTGATTAAGGTGAACTGGACCCTGCAGAGACGTGTGTGTTCACCAAAATTTATCTTCAAAGACTGTCTATAAATCCTAAAAAAGGAGGTGTTTGTTGGCTTTTGGTTGTGTTTTTTTTTTCCTGTTGGGTAAGAGGGGCACTTCAATAGAATCATAGAAACATTTAAGTTGGAAAAGGCCTTTAAGGTCATCGAGTCCAACCATAGACCTAACACTGCCAAGTCCACCACTAAACCATGTCCCTAAGCACCTCATCTACTCGTCTTTTAAATACCTCCAGGGATGGCGACTCAACCACTTCCCTGGGCAGCCTCTTCCAATGCTTGACAACCCTTTTGGCGAAGACATTTTTCCTAATATCCAATGTAAACCTCCCCTGGCACAACTTGAGGCCATTTCCTCTTGTCCTATCACTAGTTACTTGGGAGAAGAGACCGACACCCACCTCACTACAACCTCCTTTCAGGTAGTTGTAGAGAGTGATGAGGTCTCCCCTCAGCCTCCTTTTCTCCAGGCTAAACAACCCCAGTTCCCTCAGACGCTCCTCATAAGACTTGTTCTCCAGACCCCTCACCAGCCTCGTTGCCCTTCTCTGGACACGCTCCAGCACCTCAACGTCTTTCTTGTAGTGAGGGGCCCAAAACTGAACACAGTGTTCGAGGTGCGGCCTCACCAGGGCCGAGTACAGGGGCATGATCACTTCCCTACTCCTGCTGGCCACACTATTTCTGATACAGGTCAGGATGCCATTGGCCTTCTTGGCCGCCTGGGCACACCCTCAGGTCCTTTTCCTCCAGGCAGCTTTCCAAACACTCTTCCCCAAGCCTGTAGCACTGCATGGGGTTGTTGTGACACAAGTGCAGGACCTAGCACTTAGCCTTGTTGAACCTCATACAATTGGCCTCACACACACAAAAAGATCAGTTTGATCCTGAGCAAATGCTATTTCAAGGCTTTTCCCTCCACATCTTCAAAACATGAATTTCAGCATTTAAATGAAGTACTTCAGTTAACAGAGCTTAAAAACAGAGCAAAAATATCAAGAGAAAGAGGCCAGCTTTTCAGAGGTCCATCAACCTGTATGAGCTACACTGTCTTAAATAAGTCTGGAGGACAAGGAAACCCCTCTCCCGTTGAGCTGGTCAGTACCATGCTCTGTGCACTACCAGGATCATGAGGCACAGAGCTTCCTCTCTGCTTGCTAGCCTGCCTCTCACATACGAGCCTGGGGAAAGCAAAGGGACTGCTCTTCTTGGGAATCGGTCATGCCAGATAGCTAACACACAGAAAAGGGAATCAGATCTCATTTTTCCTGCTGGCTATGCCCTACATTAGCCCAGCCCAAAGCACCTCTCCTCCTCCTTCCTTGCTTCTAGGTCAGTGGTGACTCATCTGTATTTTAATGCAGGTCTCTGAAGCTTAATTCATTACCTGAAAAGAGCTTTGAGACCATCAAGTGAAGGATGCTAGAGAAGTGCAAAGAGGTAATTCCTGTAACTCATATCCATGTGCTACATATGTGCCTTTGTATATTTTTTTTTTTTCCTTTTATAAAAACAAAATTTGTACCTGATCCTAGAGCAGAGAGGGAGCCATTCATTCCCTCCACCCTCCACCCATGATGCATCCCACCTTGCTGTTTTGTGTGTGAGGTTTGAAAAAGGGGGTCTGACATACCCAACAATCGAATTTGCGTGACCGCGCCGTGTAAAACGAAGAACATCCAGAGGGGCTGGGAACAGTCCACGCAGACCTGCATGCCAGTGCCGGCACCATTGTGACTCAAGTGCAGCTCACCATCCGAATTCACCATAAATCCCAGGATGTCTCCACTCTGGAGGGGCACCACGACTCGGCAGATGGCCCAGAACTCCTTTCGGTCGACCAAGGACTCGGGGTTATAGGGGAGGTCGCTCGGGCGCAAGGTGCTGGGGTCGCAGGACGTCACCCCGTAGGACAGCGTCCCCGTGCGCACAGCATTGGACTTGTTGATTTTGACAAAAATGGTTTCGTTGATCCGAAGGGGTCTGTTGGTGAAAACCAAAGTCCTCTCCTCCCGGGCGTGCTCCAGACGGGCCACAGTTTGGTCATCGAGGATTTTGACGTGGGGTCCCCGGAGGTGGTGAAAGCGGAGGTCACTCTCCAGCTGGGAGGGGAGGAGGTGGGAGTGCTGGGAGTTGAGGGAGTTCTGTGGGATGGGACACGTGGTGGCCATCACGTGGAAGGTCTCCTCCTGCAGGTTGAGGTCGCACAGGCTGACTGAGAGGCGCGTGTCCTCCGTCTCCCGCCGCAGCGAGGGCCGGCGGATGGCGGTGAAGGAGCGGGGCCGCAGGCAGTCGGGAGGAATGATTTCACTGTCTGCAGGGAGAGAGAAAACAAAAAAGGGGTCACTTCAGAGAAAATGAAAACGTCCAGGAGTTTGCAAATCGCTATTGGTTTGATTGATATGATTAAAAGGGAAGATCAGAGACCTGCTGCCATTGATAAATTTTCCCCTTTAAAATATGGAAGCAGAGTATCATAAAATGTTTTTGCAATCGATTGCTGTTCTTGTACTCTCCCCGCCAGCATCACCATTTTCAGCTTCTGAGCAGGCAGACTCAAAATCGATGGAAAGAATTGACTAGGGGAGGATCTCCTTGGAGAGGGGAAACAGTGGGTAAATACCTGAAATACACCCTGAACATACCAATCAATATCTATACAGGCTGTGAGTTTTCATGCTCTCTTTATTGTCTACAGTAATTCTCATAGATCTAGGAAATAAATATCTAACTGCACATTCTTTTATTTTAAAACAAATCCTATGTTCAGTTCTAATTTATTTATCATCATATGAAATTTAATTAATATTCCTGAATATAATTAATCATTAGTGTTCTGGTGCTCACTGCAAACCAGTACAGACATGGATTTCAGAGTGCAGAACTTGGGAATATGCAGTTTTCTATAAATAACATACAATCACTCATTATCTCCAAGCCAAATAATTAAAAATCAAATCCACAGATAAGTAACAAAGAAAGATGATGCGTACACATTCAAATCCAGCAGTGGCAACAGAATTGCACCTTATCCTCTTTGTTAGTCTCACCTGCTGTTTCAAGAGCTAATCATGGATTTATTTGATTCTTTTTCTAAGGAACCTAATCACCTGCCTTTAATGCCTAAATTACTTTTACTTAACATATCCTTAGCTACGCTGTTGCCATAGAAATTTTTAAGAGCAATATACTGAGAAAAAAACATTATTTAAACAGATTATAAAAGTAAGCTGAGATGACGCAAAGATTTATACTTCTGCTTGACTTTCTGAACTCCGAGAAGCCCATAGCATCAAGAGACTATTGGCTGTGAGAAAATTGAGCATGTGGGTAGTTCTCTGCAAACGTTGTAATAAGCTATGACCCATATTGACTGTTCCTTTCCGGGAGCTATGCCTGAAGACTGTTGTGGCTTCAAGCCTGGGTCCAAACGACGTGAGGTGGGACCACCCTATACAACACAATCGCCGGCAGGTGGCACAAAACAACACCGCCAGACCCCAGCCTGGGACCTGCCGCAGACACGGCACAAGGTGGAACGACAAGAAGAGGCAGAGGAGCAGAGACTCGTTCCTAACCCACCTGCTAGGCCCTTGCAGTGGGCACCTCTTCCATGTGTCCTTGGGATTTTCTTTTACGACAACAAAGAGCAGGAACTCAGGTTATCTGAGGATTTTCCCAATGGGATGCACCCTCTCCCAGTACACCAGAGTAGTGGCTCTGTACTGGTGCCAAGGAAAAATGCCAGCTACTGAATAACCAACATCTCCTGCAATATCTGAGGTCTAACAGCCTTTCCTGCCCTCCTCTTCTGGGAGCCCTGACAAGAGCACACCCACACAGTTTGGCTTCAGTAGAGCGCTTTGCTTTGCTTAAACTGGATTATTCCAGGCTCCTCTTTAAATAAACTGCTATTATAAGGGAAGCACAGTTTCAAAATAAAAATGAGCTTTGTTCCTCATATTTGATTTTCCCCATACTGATATTTCAGCTTCTCTTCCCAGAAGTTAATTAAAGAAAAGGAGGAATAAATAAAATCAGAAATTACCCCAAGTAATTTAGAAGGGGGTCGCATTAATGCTTTGTAATATGTGGGCTAGCATTTGCATTGTAAGTGCTCCTCCTGGATAGAATTAGACTTATTTTACCCTCCTTTGGCTGGAAACCCAAATAGGAGAACAAATACTGGCAGCTGATGACGATCCTTGGTGTAGGTAAATGGGTAGAGACCTTTCTGAACAGAACAGGAACAGAAGGTCGTCTCTATTTTATTCCCTGTAACTATTCATGTGCAGCCTGGCTGACAACTGTGATGTGTGGGTAGCTTGCAGCCAGGGTTTTGAAACAGCTTGTTTTCCACCAGGATGCTTGCATTTCCCTTTGGCTGCTGGACAAAATATCTTTTTCCGTATGAAAAGAGGTTAAGGGAGATGGAGTTCTTCTGCAGACAAGACACATGGCAGTGATAGCAAACCAGGGTTACACATCCAACTGTTTTACTTAAATCCATCGGTAGCTCAGATGCCTAGCCGCTTAAGGGATAAGATGTCTCAAGCATATGGGATTGACTGTGAAACTTAGTTCATTAATGTTTGCAAATACCCGTGGATTGCAGTTTACTGGTATCTGAAGTGGGTTTGTGAAAATTTAGAAAGATGAGTCTCTAAGAGATGCTGGTGTGCTCCACGTTTTTATAAATCACAAAATACCCAGCCAAAGAAGGAAAAAAAAATCCCATTGAATATAAAGTAAAACAAAAGTGGGATTAATCTTTTGGGGTGGTAGATAAGTTGGAAGAGATGTGAAACACCATTTACCCAGAATAAGTGATAACAGCCAAGGGCTATGAAAGAACAATTCTGGTGAAATGTGAAACAAATGAGTGACTTTGAGCAGTTTCTTTCACCAGAAGATGCGCAGGAACAAATTGTTTTCTTCCACTAGAGCTTCAGTTGTCACTTTTTAAACACAGACCAAGCTGTTCATGCTGGAGTGGCCCATAACGCAGCCTTACTCCTGCAAAACATTTGCAACTGACCTTTAATGCCTGCAAAGGAGGGACTCTCCATGTAGGAGTGTTCAGGCACATTTATATTTGCAGAAACAAACCTGGAGCACACATCAAAAAGATGGAATGACTTTATGTGACGAGACTGTAAAATACGAAACGGGTCCAATGGCCCATTACCGAGGAGATCACTCAGCTTCAGCCTGAAGAATTTAGAAATCATCCCTTCTTATTAAATATTCAAGGTTATAAAATTTCCTATATAAGGCAGTTGGCAGTGTTTCTTTGGGAAAAGTCAACTGGTGAGAGACCTCCTTGAGTAAGAATAGATGGACTTGTGAGTGAAGACCACAGCTCTCACTGAGTCACCAGGGCAAGCTTTAACCCCGCTGGTTGGGGTACCACCAGCAAGCTGGCTGTGACCACGGCAGCTCAATGAAGGCTGGCTGCCCAGGTAGCTTTCCAGAGAGGTTTTGCTGAGCTCTGCATCAGTGGAGTTATGATGCCAATGCCAGATTTAGAGACTTAAAGTTTCTGGTAGCAATATAGACATAGCCAAAGTGGAAGGGATTTCTACTAAATACAAATGTTCTGCTCCTCAGCTGGAGAATCTGAGACACTGAATTTTTGTAAAGGATGCCTAACTTCATAAATCCCTTTGTATCTTTTTCCGGCTTTCTTTAAGAAAAAAAGTGAGCAGGAGTAACAAAGTACAACTGAAGGGCACTTGAGTTCAGCCGTCTCCTGTTTTCTTGACTTTAGTGGGGTTAAAAAATATAGATTCTCAGCAGCTGATGCCTTACACAGAAAATTAACTTGAAGTATCTTCCTCAAACCAGAGGCTTCAAAGCTCTCTGTTTTCCTGCTCAGAGGGCATGGAAGAGCCTCCTGCTTCGTGCAGGCTCAATGAAACTGCAGTAACACTTTAAAACAGCACCTGCAAGAAGCTGGTGAGCAGCCAGATACAGCTGTAATCGCTGCATCCCGATCAGAAGTATTTCACTACCACCTTTTTTTTGAATGACTGTCAAATGTTGTCTTCTTAAAATCACCTTTTTCCTTAAACATGTATAATATGTATAATACATATTTATTATTGATATCACATATATGCACATTTAATATAGCTACATGTACATCCAAACACAAACGCATTTCTAATCACCAGCATGCAAAGATCATCTCAGCCCCACACAAACCCGAAGGGGATGTGTTGCTGTCAGACTGTCAAATCATTATTTCCTTCCTCTTTTTCTTTTTCAGTACTGTCTGTTACTGCCTGAAGGCTTGACTTTCCAAGGTCATGAGCAGCCAGTGTTCACACACCTGTAAAGGATCTGAGAAAGCAGAGCAAACTCAGCACACACGCACACACATGCTGGAAACTTGCAGAGTCCAGTATTTAACTGCAAGCTCTAGGGACACAGATCTCCTCCTCTTGAGTTTTCTGAGATTGGTGTAATCCTATAGCCTTACATGAATTGTATTTCTTCAGAGTATGAGGGCTGCAACCTCTCTCCAGAATGAGCTATGGAAGACCTAGTATAAATAAACCAATCTTGAAACTTATTACTACAAAAAAACCTTAAAATTTGGGGAACCAGACTGATAACCTAAGAACCTATCCCATTTCTAATGATCTTCCCTCCCAGGAGAGAGAAATGCTGAGAAAACAAGGAACAACCTAGTTATTCCTTGCATCTGGAGAACATTTCTGACCTCAGCTACTAAGCAAAGACTAAAAAATTGGTAAGGTCAGAACCTTGCTGGTGTGGTCCTTCCCTTCCCGTGCACAGCCCCATGTTCTTTCCTTCCTTCTGTTCTTTGCTTTACTTCTTCACAAGTGCATTTTTCTTCTCTTAACCCCTTACTTCACTGGGTAATAGTATTTTTAGTGAGTACTGGTGCTCATTGTATAATTTCCGTGACCAAGGAACCTCAGAGGTGCTAAGCTACCAAAAGACATCTTGAAGTCAGTGGCCCCTACAAGAATATTCTATGTAAATATACAACTGCAAAAGGATGTATACTGTATTATTCCCACCACACCGGAGGGGCTCCATTCCTACTCAGGAATGCAGATGAAGGCTCCTTTTCCCACCATCAGCAGTACCTGTCACAAGGGGTTACACAGGGAGGACAGCTGGCCTTCCAACACCTGGAATCTTGCACTATCTCCTCCACCGCCTACAGCAGACTCAAGCAGCTAACAGCCCATTTGGCAAGACTTCGACATTGCAGGGAGATGTGTTTGAAATATGAGGCGGACGTACCACGCCGTGAAATAACACTGCACTCAAAGGCAA